TAACATCACCCCAACATATAACATGAAACTTAACACTTAGTCCTTAACCCTTAACAATTCACATGGTCCACTCCTACTGCTTAATGTTTACCCAAACCAAAACAGATAACATAAGCCCTACAGTGAGCCCTGAAAACTTAAGCTCCTCACTAACACTTAACTGATGCCTTAACACTAAAAGTGACCCCTTCATTTGTCCATGCAGGTCAAAGTGAATGGTTCCCTTAGCTCCCCTGCAGCACTTACTTTCTTTCCTTCCTTCCTGCGCCCCTTTGTTTAGCCATTTGGTGCCTATGTGAAATACCAGGCCCTTCCAGCTATGGGTGAGCATGTGATTTACATTTTACACCCCTCACCCATGTGATAGCGCTGATGTGCTCTTACCAGGATCATGTGACCGGTGGAGATGTCCATGTTGGACTGCACAGGTTCCTCGCACCAGGACGGAGTGCTGCTGTGTGAACTCGGGCTGGGCTGCGGCACGTCGCTGAACTGGGAAGACACACTGCTGACGCGGGAGTTCTCTGCCGCTGCCCCGCCACCCTCTGTGCGACCAAACAGAGACTTTCCTGCCATGTGCTGCCTGCAGAGATCCTGGAACCGGAAAGAGGGAGAGAGAGAAAGCGAGAAAGAAAGAAAGAGAAAGAGAGAGAGAAAGAGAGAGAGAGAGAGAGAGAGGACTCATTACTGGTATTCATTCTTAGAAAAGTCAACTACATGCTTACCTGACAATGCTGTCCTGAAAACATTACATCTCTGGTAGCTCAAAATGTTCACTGAATATACCTTCAATCTTACCGTTATTGAACTCATTGCAATAAACTTTCATATCTGCTTCCTGAGAACTACAGACAGAGAGTGGTGCTCACGTCTTAGTAGCTGGGAGCACACTGCCATGCATGTCCACACCAAGGATTTAGCTCCACTATATGGCCAAAGGTTTGTGGACAACCAAACATCACAGCTACCCATACGGCCAAATGTATGTGAACAACCCTCCAAATTATTGAGTTTGGGTGTCTCCAGTGAAGGGTTCAGTTAACACTACACCGTACAAAGACATTTAGACAATTGTGCATTTCTAACCTTGTGATAACAGTTTGGGGAAGACCCATACTTCTTCCAGCATGACTATGCCCTGTGTATAAAGTCAGTTTCATAAAGACATGGCTTGATGAGCTTGGTGTGGAAGAACCTGAGAGGTCTGCACAGAGCCCTGACCTCAAACCTATAGATTGTGATGAATTGGGACATTGTAAGCAAGCCGGGTCTTCTAGCTCACCTACACATGGCTTCACAAATGCTGTTTTGGCGGAATGGGCACAAATTCCCACAGACACAATGCAAAGTCTTGTCAAAGCCTTCCCAGAAGAGTGAAGGATGTTATAGCCACAAAGGGGGGCAAATCCATATTGATGCCCCTGATTATGGAACAGGAGGTCCAACTAACTCATATTGGTTTGATGGTCAGGTGTTCACAAACTTTTGACCATATACCTGTATATGTATTTGTACAGCCAGTTGCACACAATGAACAACGGGAATACACCGATAGTCACTTAGGAATTCTGCCTAACTGATTCAGTGTACAAAATGTCATGCATAATTTACCACGTAGACTTGGATGTGGAGACTTTGTAGGTCCATGCCTGTGATGGTCGCTCACTTTGCCATACTGTGACTATTGGGCAGCCTCTGCTCTAGAGATATATAGCCAATATCATTCTAAGACACTTACAGGACCACTTACTGTAGAAACAAAAAACCCTAAGGACCAGTGTCAATGGCCTAATGTTTGCTTCTGAAATGCTTCTCTCCCCTTATACAAGTCTATGGAAATGCAAAACCAGCTTGAAGCAGGTCAAATGCAAGTCAGAAGGAGGTCACCTATAGGTCAAATGCCCCTGCAATGAATCAGTAGCACCTCAAACTGATGTCAGAAAGATGCTGAATTTTTAGCCCAGAGTTCCAATGCGACCAAAACTTAAGGGTGAGAGGTTCCATGTTCTGCATGAAATAAATAAACTTGAATCAAACAAGGTATAACTTGGAGCTCTCAGTTATTGTAAGGCTAGCTGAAAGCCAATATGTTTCGGGGGCACAACACTCCTCCACCTTCATGAGGGCTTAAAATATTTGGGGAGCTTGAAAACAGGACTTATTTTGGGTTGATTAACAAAGATGTAGGCAGAGCTTGAAAACGGGACCATTGTTTTTTCCTGCCTACATCCTTTATTAATCAACCCAACCTAGGGTTGCCACCTGTTCAGGATTCACCCGGACAGTCCGGGTTTTGAATGCTGGGTCCGGGTTTCATGGCAGCAAAAACCCGGACACAAGATGTCAGGCAGACAGGGGCAACCAAAATTAAGATATGGGCTACTGGCCTCCCACTGTAAATAGTCTCAACTGCGATATTTACATATGAATAAGCCACGGCTCATTCTCCCAAAAAAATGTCCGTGCGTTGCTAGAATGTTCGGGTTTTGCATGAAGAAAAGTTGACAACTCTAACCCAACCTGAGTCTCATTTTTAAACTCACCAAATATTTTAAGCACTAGTGAAGGGGGAATGTCAGTGCCCCCAAAAGGCATCAGCTGTTCTGTTTCCTTGTTATAAGCAAACACTAATAATAAAAGATTTTGGACTCTTTGGCACTCTCATTAGACTTTTTTTTGTTATTGCTGTATATCACCCAATGTTGGGGAACTTCAGCCTCTCTGTTTGTTCTGGGAAATCCCAACTTTTATAGCTGTCATCAGAACAGAAGAAGAAATCTTCCATTTGGGCTCATCTGTTTTAGCGACACCTTGGAGAGATTTCCTCTGTCCCTGAGACAGGAAGTGAAGGTTAAAAAAAAATATTTTCAGGTACACTTTAATCCCTTAAAGGAGAACTATGAGATGAGTGATTTCCACTCACCTCATAGTTCTAGCCGACCTGTGGCAATGAGACTGTCACAGGTCGGCTCAGTAGATCGGGAAGTGAGCGAACACATACCGGGTTCCCTCGCCTCTCGATCCTGTCACGGCTCTCTGCCGTGACAAGGGGAGGGGCTGGATTCCCCTCTCCCCGCTCCGATCTGCCAGCGCTGACTGGCGGAACGGACGGGGGAGGGGGCGGGTACAGCTGGCTCTGCCTCTAGATAGGCAGAGCCAGCTGTCACTCACGCAGCTGGGCGGATCCCGTTATCTACGTCGGGATCCGCTCCAGGTGCGGCGTCTCAGTATACCGCGAGCTGTAGCTCGCGGTATACTGAGCTTAGGGTAACGGGAGGACGCTAGTTTGTGTCCTCCCGTTACCCTAAGGAGAACTATGGGGGAAAACACTGACCCCATAGTTCTCCTTTAACAATGGGAGGTGGGGATGCGCTCCCGATCATGTGATCGCTGTGACAGTCAATCACAGTGATCACATGATCAGGAGCCCAGCTCCCATAAACAGAGACAAGGAGCTGTCGATGGCAGCTTGGTCACTGTCCTGGGAGCACGCAGTGAGCGAGCTTCCAGCACAGAACATGGACGTATATACGCGGCGGCTGGGCGTTAAAGCCGACCTTCTTGCCGTGTCAGTTGCTCGGCAAGTGGTTAATAATTAAAACAGAATATTTTAGACACAGACTCCATACAGCGGTCTACCTGGTACTCAAATGTGGAGTCTCCGCCCCCCTCGGGCCCGAGTCCGGCCAGGCGTTCCTTCTCCCGTTGCTTGGCATGTTGGCGGAGGCAGAAGATGACAGCTGAGGCGATGACTATCCCAGCGATACAAGCCAAGGCAATGAAGATGAGGAGGACAAACCGGAAAGTATCCCCAAAATGAGTGGCGTGAGGGTAGGTGGTGCCGTTACTGCGCTGTGGGCGGAGAAAAGATCGGATTTATTAGGAATCTTTCAGCAATATTGCAACATTGTAATCTTGTTCAATGGGAAGACTCGAAAATATACAATTTAATAAAGCAGTTTGAAGAGCAACAGTGATATACAAAGTGCAGTGATCCATTGCAACCAATCAGAAATCACCTCTCTACCGATCTCACTGGCATAAGTGTAATTTGATTGGATACTATGGATTACTGCACTTTGCAAGTAGTGATTGCTGTTTGCATTGCTCGGTTGCAGGGGTCGGCAACCTCGGGACTCCAGCTGTGGTGAAACTACAAGTCCCAAAATGCCTCTGGGAGTCATGCCGGTGGCTGTCAGAGTCTCGCAATGCCTCATGGGACTTGTAGTTCCACAACAGCTGGAGTGCCGAGACTGCCTAGCCCTGCTCTATTGAGTATTAGTAATATTTTACTGTATTGCTGGGCAATGTGGCTATCGTGAAAAATCATGTGCTCTGCTGACTGTATTTGCCTAATATGTGTCATGCCAACATTCAGCATATGTCTCTTTTTAATTTTACATGGCTTGTTAAATATTCATCTCCACATTTACAATGCAGGCTAAGCTGTGCAGCAAAAATGACAGAAGCTGGAACACAGCAAAGGGTACCAGGCAGTTAAAAAACACACACAATGAAGTTTTAAAGCTGAACTCCAGGATACATATATCATCCTCATACAACAGTCAAGTGTATTCTTCTTGAATCTTGGTGAGCTTTGTGTATTTCTTCCAGATCTGTGCAGTAATCCAATGTGAGACTTGGAACTTCCTGCAATAAAGACCGGTCACTGCTGCTCTCTCCTTGTGCAGGGCAACTGGTCTTGTCTCTGCCCCCTCCTGTAATAAAGACCGGTCACTGCTGCTCTCTCCTTGTACAGGGTGACAGGTCTTGTCTCCGCCCCTTCCTGTAATAAAGACCGGTCGCTGCTGCTCTCTCCTTGTGCAGGGTGACTGGTCTTGTCTCTGCCCCCTCCTGTAATAAAGACCGGTCACTGCTGCTCTCTCCTTGTGCAGGGTGACTGGTCTTGTCTCCGCCCCTCCTGTAGCTTTCAGCAGGCAGGCTGTAGTAGGTGGGGCTTGCTGGGTCCCTCCCATAGCTTTGCTCACAGGCTATGTACAATACAATGATGACGTCACTGCTACTTTTATAAGGGTTTGACAATGCACACAGAATGCATTCATTCCTTTGTAGCTATTGAGAAAATGATGTCAAATGAAAGCTTTTGTGCCCAGAGTTCAGCTTTAAACTAGGAGAATACAAGGTGTCTTTTTAAACACACCCGTCTTTGTAATGGTTTGTCCCAACTCCAGTCACAGGCACTGCCACTATTGGACAGCTTGGCCTGCAGATAAGTGTGGAGAAAAATATGAAGACATCTAAAATAAAAAAAGGAGTGTATGTAATAAATACCATCACTTTATACTGTATATCATCCCTACACAATTATCAAAAGAGGGACATTTTTACAATAGTGGTCATTTAAGAGCTCCATGCTGAGCACCAAAAATAATGTACCATCCTGGTGATCAGACACAAGCCATCTGAACTGGCACCCCTTCATTTTAATCTGACACCTCATTCAAACATTCAACAGAGAGCGAGCGCCGTTCTACACCAAATAGCAATATTACCAAAATCTAATCAACTTTTGTCTTGTGTCTAAAATGTTGGTTAATACCACCTACCAATCTCTATCTCTTCCCAGTCTCAAAAAGGTTGGACAGTATGAGATTAAAGTAAGTGATGTGATGGACTACAATCTCAATACAAATTAGTAAACTAAACATGAGATTGTAGTCTATCATAGGAGTGAGCTTGGGGTGGTGACTACTTTACAACACACACAGGGACCATGGGGGACAAAAGTAGCCCCCCTCCAGAAGGAAGGACAGTGTCGGCACCAATTCAGAGATGATTGGAGGATCTACAGCCGAGTGACACACAAATAAGATACATTGTTGTTAATGGTTAAGGGACTTGAATGTATTTTTAAGATTTATCTCCTGAGTTTAGTGTCACTTTAAATGGAGCTTTATTGCTAATAATTTAATCAATGTGTTTGAAGATTTTACCTCTCTTACCCTCTTGTCCTGGCAACAATTCTAGAAGTTTGGATTTCCTATCACTTAACGTCAGTCACCAGGACAACTGGCAGTAGTGAAACCACATATCAGGTATACAGACAGCAGAAACCAAAAACATTGGGGTTTTAATTCTTCCCACCTCTATCCAAAAACACACAAAGGTTTGGCTGTGCATACCCTATAATAAAGTGTGTGTGTGCAGCCCAAACATTCCAGTTTAGAGATAGTGGGAAACAAATGTCATTGTTTTACTGCTGAGGCTCCATTAGAGAGATTTTCCCCCACTTCCTGTCCTGCTGACAATTGATTCACCAGGCAGGAAGTGAAGAGAAAAACTGCAACATGGACACAGACCACAATAAAAAAAAAACTGATGGAGGTTTTAGCTGTTCTCTGATAAAAAATAATACAGCTTTTATTTCTGCGTCCCTGTTGGAGATTTGCCCTCAGTTCCTGTCTGGGAAAGCATTACAATACACAATACTGCCAAAAGTATGTGAACATTCCTCAAAAATTATTGAGTTCAGGGGTTTCCAGTGAAGGGTTCTGTTACTACAACAACATACAAAGACATCTTAGACAATTTTGGGCTTCCAACCTTGTGGAACAAAAGTAGCCGCCCTCCAGAAGGAAGGACAGTGTCAGCGCCAATTCAGAGATGATTGGAGGATCTACAGCCGAGTGATACACAAATAAGTTACATTGTTGTTCATAGTTCAGGTTCTTGAATGTATTTTTAAGATTTAACTCCTGAATTTAGTGTCACTTTACGGCAATCTTTGTAAAGGCGTGCTGCATGAACACGGTCCCAAAAATGTGAAGCGTTCATCAGCCACTTCATGACTTATCTTTTGAGCGATAGACATGTACTGGAGAGCGACAGTTAAAACAATCAAAAAAAGGTAACAAAGTTTTGGTGCTTTCCCTCCAATTTCCAAGGCATGGTCACTCCCACAATTTTTGGAGTATCCTTTGGAATGACCTTTTCAAGGCTGACAACGAATACATAAACCTAATCAAGCAGTCCGATCAACTCTTTATCTGATTATGGCGCTCTGATCTGCGCTCACGCAGCTCGAGAGTTGGCCAAAACCAGAAACATGATCTTTCCCAAAATCTTTTGTTTCAACATAAGGAAATCATAAATCAATCACGTGCCAGTCTAAAGCTGAGACGGAACGATAGGTCCCAGCAGCCAAAGGTTGGATCTGCTAGAACATTTGGTGCCTGCTGGGACTTGTGGCTCCTCAAGCATTGACGAATGACAGCTTACGCCAACATCTATGAACGCCTCTTAGACCTGAGAGCTTGCAATCCATTTAGTAAAAACACAACTGGGTGGGTCAACGGATTATTCTCAAGGTCATAACCAGACAAGATGACATCAGCGAAGCATCTTTCTTAGAACACCCGGAAAGAAGAAAAAAGGTCAAATAAAACAACTTCAGATCGGCTGGTTTCATATACAATGTTACAAAAAAAATAAAATTATGCAATTGGCCGCACAATAGTTAATATCAATAAGACGCTTCTCTACGTTTTACGCACCCACCCACTTCTACAGACAGGGGTGGAGGGGAGTTGAGGAAAAAAAAAAGAACAAGTGTTCTTCCACCGAACTTACCTACTAGGCGCTGTGAATTTTGCAGCTGCTCGGTGCGAGCTGTCTCCTTAAAGAGTCCTCTGAGGGGAGGAGGAGGGGTGGGGATACACGGGGACAATACTGAGACCTCGGGCCCCGCACCTTATTCATGTCACACACACAATGCTCTGGCCCGGAGAACAGCTAACAGTGACACGAGAGGGAATGGGAGCCATGGACGGCTCAAAGACATTGCCAAATGACACGGGGCGGAAAAAAGAGGGGAAGGAAAAAAACAACAACGGGGAGGCGAGGAGAAACGAAATGAGAAAAGTGAGACGGGAGGAGAATGGAGTCTTTCAGGATGGCAGGGAAGGACGTTTGTGGAATGAATGGGGGTGAGGGAGGCTGTGGATGGGCAGCACTAGAGAGACGGCACACAAAAGACGGGCTAAGGGGGGTGGGGGGCACCCGGAAAAAAGATGCGAGGATGAGAACCCGGGCGGTGATGGAGGATGGAGATGGGAGCGGCAGGGAGAGCGTGTGTAGGATGGGGGGTCTTGTACCCTCTCCCTGCCACCATTCTAAGATCCCTAGAATATCGCCCTTCTCCGTCACAATCACAGCACTTGTCACATCAAAAGAGGTTACCATGACAACAGTTCCATGTTACAGAGGGGAGGCGTGACCGCACAAAAAGGCGTCCTCCATCCCTGCCCCCACCCAAAGACCGATCGACCAAACCCCTGAAATGCATACAGCTGGATGAGACCCCCCCCCCACCGAGAGCCCATCCCCCACATTAACCTATAATCAATACGATAAGACAGGGACCATAGAAGAGCCTCCGGAATTAACAGGCTACAGACAGAGAACAGACACACAACATCCCGAAATATCATAACCAGACACACATCATCCCAAAATATGACAACCAGACACACAACATCCCGAAATATGACAACCAGACACACAGCATCCCAAATATGACAACCAGACACACAGCATCCCGATATATGACATCCAGAAACATTGCATACCAAATATGACATCCAGACACACAGCATCCCAAATATGAAATCCAGACACACAACATCCCGAAATATGACATCCAGACACACAGCATCCCAAATATGACAACCAGACACACAACATCCCAAAATATGAGAACCAGACAAACAACATCCCGAAATATGACATCCAGGCACACAGCTTCCCAAATATGACATCCAGACACACAACATCCCAAATATGAGAACCAGACACACAACATCCCGAAATATGAGAACCAGACACACAGCATC